AATAATTTTTTGCAAGAAGCTTCTGTCTCCTGTCATGAGCTAAGTTGAGAAACAGGTCTGGCACACTGAGATCCTACTATCCCCTTCTGAGACAGCCCCCCATCAAACTAAAAGCATTGCTTCAGCAAGCAGTGGAATCAGAGCAGTCTGGAGTTTGCCATGAGTTATATCACATTTAGTCTCACAGCAAAGTGTTAGGAGGCTGACAAGACAATCACACCTTAGTTTTCATTGTATTGGGTCACTTTTGCCTTTGGGAGACTGAGAGAAGGTCAGCTACTCCTGACATGGACAGATGGGCAATTTGAGCAACACGATCCTGTTATTGAGATTTGGGAGATAGAGGCAGTGGGGAAGATGACCCAATCCTGTGTATTAGAGTGTGATGTCAGTCATCATGCAGCAAGACAAGTGTCTGGAGCATCTGAGAAACCAGGGAATCCTGTTTGTTTGGGAGGGAAATACAATTAACTCATTGTTCTCTGCCTGTGTGAGCAGCAATGGAAACGTGCTTTAAGTGATGTACACAGGGTACAGTTCTTGATTCTCCAACTGATATCAACAGCCTGAATGAACAAAACTGGAAGTGAGTTAAAAGCCTGGTACAGATCCAATGGGAATGGAGTTGAAACTTGGGACCTTGTCTCCTCTAGCAGACTTTTCTCTCTGGCAGCAGGAGGGTGATACATATCCATGATGTAGGTTTGGTGACAGTTGCATACTTCCTTTTTCATACACCTTTAATGAGAATCTGTGGGAAAATCAAGGGCTTTGTAGAATATAAAGGTAGCTGCTGAGAAACTGGCTTTAGTTTTCTTAGGGGTTGGAAATCAGCAGTGGTAGACAGAAGGGTGTTACCTCCTTCCTCATCAAAGCTTCTATGGGGTTATTTCAGGTGTAATTTATGAAAAGCTGAGCAGTAGGGACCTCTCCACTGAACCTCTGCTGGGTTACATCCCACTGTTTGACAAGTAGTATGGTAAAGCATTTTTCTGTACAAGGTCAGATTAATCTTTTTTTATGGAGTTTCACATGAATGCTTTGCTTTGGTATTGTTGTTTCTCCATGCATAAATCTTTATTATACCAATAGCCTACAGCCCCAGTGAACCAAACAAAACTCAATTTTATTCTTCTCAGTATTTATCACCACAGTGAGAGAACTCCATTGAAAAACAACTGTGAGAGTTTCCAGCAGGTGCGCTGCGGTTTAGGTGCTGTGAGCCTTCAGTGATTTCATGCTTCTTCCTTCTAAATTGGAATGGTACATGCCAAGCTGGGTCTGGCCCTAGATTGGGCATCATTCCCTTTGGGATGATACTGAGGATGGAACTGAAAATGAACTGTTGGAAGGTGCTGTGGACTAGAGGAGCAGGCTGTGCATGCGTCCATGCCTGCACCTTAGTCTGGTGAATAGCAGGATGTGCTGCAGTGTGCAGGCCTTGCTTTGCAGCCAGCACAGGCTGAAACCTTGCTTGCTGCTTTCCAAGGTGTTGGTTTGGGTTTAGCTACAGCTCTTCTTTAGAAGGGGGATGACAGATGAGCTGGCTTGCAAGTACTTGGAGCTTTTACCAGGTGATGAGGGTGAAGCCTCTGCGTTGAGGCTGAGCTCACTTAATTAACATTTGTAATGAAAGATACAGCACAGGTCTCTGCTTGTTGGTTATCTGTGATATAGCCATGTGGGCTCTGTCAATGCTTCCAAATGTAAAAAAAAAAAAAAATAGAACTAGCTACTTTATACTTTTATATAAAACCAAAATATTTTTCTATGGAGATAAAGGATAATCCTTATCCAGGTTTTGACTCTCTGAACCATATACATTAGTTTCGGTTCACTGTATGGCTTTCAAGATTTGCAGTGCATGAAACCAAATTCCCAGCTTGGAGGACCTTCTCAGTCTGTGTAGGGAAAGACTTAGACATGATACATAACCATCACTGAGAGGATTTTTATTCTGATATTTTCTAAATTTTGAGTACTTGACTCCAAAATTTTAGCATCTTTTTTGACGTCGGTGTCATGCCCATTTCTCTAGTATGACCTAAGGAAGGCAGGAGCACTATCAGGGTCTTGCCAGAAGGTACAGCCTCCTTCATTGGGCACAGTGGCACAGCTGGCAAGAGCAGCTCTCTGATCCAGTCTGAAGCTGGTAGCTTTTAGCAGAGTTGGTGTTGTAGGAGGAAATACTCTTGAGATGTGGAATTTCACTGCATTTGTTACCAATTAAGATGAAATTTTAATTACTGTTCCTAGTATTAAGAAATAATGACATACTTGAGAAAACACCTCTTCTTGAGAAACTTCCCTCCAGACACCTTTCCTCCCTGCTTCCCAGTTCATTCCCTGCACATTATACTTCATCATGGGGATCAGCGCAGGATGTTTTTCTTTTATGGCCAGTCTTTATTTCTTGCTCTTTTTTTCCCATGGCTCCAGCATTGTGGCCTCCCCAGGCCACCATCCTCTCAAAATCCTCATTCTTCCTGGGTATCCATGTACACAAGTGTCTCCTGCCTGGATTGTCTGCTGCTTGTAGGTCCAGTTTTTCTAAAACTTGTAGCCAGATCATATCCATTCCCTATCTGCTGTTAAAAATGTTCTTACTTGGGGTAGCCTTTCTCCTGCAGTCATTCCCTGGCTTCATCTGTACTCTCTCCATGATGCTGCATGCAGAGTAGGGAGGAAAAACTTTCTTGAGAGCACAGGAAAAACAGATCCCTAAGTTTTATTCCAGTTCCCGGGCATATCCCCCTTTCCAGGCCATGTCCTGTGAAGTGGGGCTGGAGGTTATTGGCTTTGGGGAGATGGCAGAAAGGCACCCCAGGTGCAGAAAAGATCTGCGGGATGGTTTGTGGCCTGTCTGGTTGTGTGTGAGCATGTGGGTGTACAATTTGCAGGCTTTAGCTGCTGAGCCCTGTCATCTCTGTGATGTGTGAAATTCAGACTCTTGAAAGCAAATAACTTCCCCACAACATCAATTTGTAGCTGGGTAAGACAAAAGGCTGAAATTTCTGTGCCTGAAATGGAGCTGCACTGTGTCAGGTCCCTGCTCTAAACACTGCAGTATGAGAGGATTTCAAATTAAAGCACCAGAAATTTAACCTGGGAAGAATAGGATACTTTGCACGCTTCTTTCTTAGAAGTAATTGGAGTGCTATTTTTGACATTCTTCCAAAAGCTTTTATCCTTTTGACAGAAACAAGCACAGAATATATCAGCACAGACAATTAAGGTTTGGCAAAATGATAAGCTGATGAAACTGAGGTCCTCTGGTAGGAAATGCTGATCACTGTATATAATGGGTAACAAACAGTCTTTCTCCTTTGTTCTAGAAATTGTCTCATGCATTCCTGTCTATGCCAGGGAATTTCACAGGGAGAAAATGGTGTTTGCATGCCCATTTTGGATAAGTGATGCTTTTATGGATGAGCAAAAAAGTACTCTACAGCCAAATAGAGCAAAGTGTCTGTGCATCTTTGCAAAAAAGGATATGCCTTGTCCTGTTTCGGTTAATGCTATGCAACAGGATAAAATTGTAAAAAATAAGCAAGCTGCACCAAGACAGGTTTGCAAAGCCATACAGAAGGTCAGTGTTGGATGGTAATGATATGGAAATCAGCTTGGATCATGGGCATAAATGAGGTCTGTGATTCAAAACTGGGCAGTAATAGGATCCAGTATTAGGGTCAGGCAGGTGTGAAAATACTGGTGATGAAAATCTGAAAATAAATAATTTAAGATTCATGGAGCAAAATGCAATGACTTCTGTGGACACAGTAATTGTACCAGGGAAGAAAAGTATTTTCCCCTTTGTGACTTTTTGCCCTCCATTCAGTCACATAAATCCATAGGTTCAAAGGTTTGGTTTTGGCTTACCAGGCAGTGCAGAAATTCTGATAAAGGCTTAGTAGCTATTAAACTTTTATAGGTTTGCAGCCTTGTGGTTGAAGAGACAGTAATTGAGTTTTTCTCGTGGGGATGGGATTCCAATTAAGCCGGTGTTGCTCAGTATTAGAATTCCACCCTTACAGGTTGCTAAGTGTGTGAATTTTATGTTATAGGGAGCTGGACCTTTGCCTCAGCTTAAAAAGTTTCCAAAATTACTCTCTCCTTTACCTATCTATGCAAAACTCAGTTTCATTTAATGCTCTGATAGTGCTCACTCTAGAGTCTGCTAGTGCTGTGTTGATGCTGCTGCAGACCCATCCAGTGTGGTAACAAAAGCAAAGGATGTGTTTTCCCAGAAGTGTTTGGCATTGCCAGCAGTTCTTCTCACTGAAGTCAATCAAAAAAGAGCTGAGGGCTTTAGAGAACCTACCTGAAATCCCTGAGTTAAAAGTTTTTTATTCAGTCCTTTGAGCTTTTGACTCCTGGGTTTTAGGCAGTTCCATGGCTTATGAAAAGAAAGAGAGGTGGCCCAACTTTGCTTTGATGTCTTCAGTACAAATCATCCCCTTTCACCTACAAGTCATGGGTTATTTGTGTAGCTCTCTGAAACTGCTCATAAAGCTAACTTGGTACACCTTTCACTTCCCCCTTGATCCCACCATTACCCTTGAAAGGAGCTATGGCTTTATGGCCCAGGCTACCTTCTCTTGCCAATGAGAAGTTAAGCTGCGAATTTCATAGATATCATTGGATGTCATCACTAATATCCAGTGAGGAAAAAAAGAAAAAAGAAAACCTAGCATGGGAAGACTCCTCCAGGTTTGCTGTCAAAGAGAGCACTGGCTTGCTCTTGGTGGGGTTTTGGGCTGTCCTACTGAAACCAGTGCTATAAATGAGCCATGCCTATGCCCAGACACTGTGGTGTTGCCTCACCAGTCCTTTATCTGCTTTTTCAGTTGCAGCAGCTTTGTGTCCTGCTGCCTGTATGACTCCCACTCCCCATCCTGCATGATCTGCTGAATGTACTTGCTGTGCATCCAGAAAAAGCTGAAATAGATGTTGATGGCTTTTGCTTTTGTTTTATCCCCTGTCCTTTCTTCTCTTGACAGTTTTTTATCATGCTGTTAATTATATTTCTGTTGGAGCTCACTGTTGTGATTCTGTTCTTCGTCTACACCGACAAGGTAAGTCAAATTCTTCATTTTTCTTTCCTCTTCAGCAAATTTATATGCCCCTTTTCCCTATAAATAAATCATAAAGCTCTTGGCTTGGTATGCACATCATGCTTCTGTCTTCCTTGAGACACTCCTCTCAGAAGGAGCTCTCTCAGAATGCATAAGCAGCCTGGCAGGACTGGGCTGTCTTGCTTGCTCAAGTGTACAACTCAAGGTCACAGATGCTGCCAAGTGCATCTGTCATTAACAAAAGACACAAAAACCACACAAAAATGCCCACAAACGAAAAACAAAACACCCGACAAAAAAAAAGCAAAGAAGCCAACAAGCCTTACTAGGAGCATGTAGGAGGAGGTACCCATCAGAGAGAGTATGATTTTTAAAAATATGTTTATGGTTTAAGAGCCACATTTATACTGTTAAAAAGGAAGTGTACTCAGCACAGGCAAAGGCATAAAATTCATTATCTTTCCACACTGCTCCTTGCAGCACATGTGTACTTAGAGCCTAGTGGAAAGCCAGGGTAAATGCATGAGAGTTCAATAAACACAGTTTTTGTTTACACTGTCACATTTTCCTTATGTTTGACCATTGTTCCTTCTGTTGTAAAGGCAATATTGCCTACCTGAATTATCTTTATCCTTTTCTTTAAAATAGTCTTACATTAGTAAATCCAAAACAAGGGCATAATTAAGTGCTACCTACTTATTCAATCAAAATCAGAAGTCCCTTACAATTGAAGACAGAGGGAACTTAATAATCACAGGGAAGGTGGCAAAATTTTACCATGAATTAACATTCATCAGGTACATGAGTGGTAAACACTTTCTTTAGGAATGGAAAGACAATAGCAGAAAAAAGACCCCCAAAAACAACACGGTGTTCATTAATACATAAATTATTAATATAATTACTAGTATATTAGTGATATGAGAGATTATATATTAGTCATATCAGTGAGTGATTGTCGGATGCACTTCTGATGCACTTCTGAAGGACTTTAAAGAGCTAGGTTCTGTAGCATTCTGTAGCTGGAACATAGAATTAACTTGCCAGGTAATTACAGTAGAAGGGACAATTTAAAATTTCTTGTATGCATTATTGGATTCTGAATTACTTGTCAGCTCTTTGCAGGAAGATCTACACATCATACAGGAGTAAAGGCATCTACTTAATATGCAATGGGCCTCCAAAACCCAAACACAACACTTGGTTATGTTTAGAAATAAAATCAGTTAGAAAATATTATCATAGCATTGTATAATAGGCTTGCCTCACTGTGAATATAATGTTGAGTTTTGGTTACACAAATAATGAGAAGTGCGAGGAAGATGGAAGAGAGTTGTCATGAAAAGGAATTATGGAGAAAACCTAGATTCAGTTTAGGAAATGAAAGAGATCCTCTGCTTAGGAGATTTACAAAGAGTAATTATAGTAGTTTCTAAAATAATGGCAGATCTAAAATAAAGATCTGTCCTGAACACAGAAGAAATAAATGGAAATGTTTCTGATTAGGTTAATAAAATAAATATTTCCTATTTTCCAATTCATTATTTGGTAGAACTCCTGTTGTTGTCTGGTGTTGAGGCTGATAGGTCAGTAAATGTGTGGGTAGGGAGGAAAGAAAAGAAACCAATGAAGTATTTTTATTCATAATGCAATCAGTCCTGCTAGGTTGACAGGTGTGTCACAGAGAATGTTCATCCTCACTCTTCAGAGGTTAAAACAGTGAAAAAGTATCAGAAGGATTCCCTCCCTCCTTCAGCCTGTTGGTTTGCAGTGGGTTTTATTGATTGTTAATAAAGAGATCAGGAAATTAACTTTCCTCTGACTCAGATATCTACTGCAGGAGGTAGTACCCTGCAGTTGTCTGTAAGATCAAAACAGAGTCTAAAATATGGGCTCCAGTTCAAGTGCAGTTTTACTGAGTTAACAAATTGCTGTAGTCTGGGTATTGCAGATGATCAAATTTGAGGCTTTTAATGTTCCTGTATGACTTTATATCTTATACTGAGAAAATCAATAGTTTATGTGACACTTGCAGTACTGCCTACTGCAGAATAAATAAACCAGCAGTAGCCTAAAACTAATATTTTCATATAGCACGTGTAGAGTTTGTGTGCTGGCTTTCCTGGTGTGAAAAACAATATTGCCACGTGTGTGGGAAATAGTGAGCCCAGACAAATCCACCCCAGTAATTCAGTTAATGTAGATCCTTGGAAAATCAGTGAATGAACATTCTACCCTGACACCTGTCCATCAGAAGAAAGTAGGGTTAGTTTTGTGTGCAGGAGAAGAGGACTCTGCAGATGATCACTTCGAGCAATACCAGCCACAGGGAGGGTGTGAATCCATGGGTGTGTGGGCTCCCAGGCAGTGAAGCAGCCTCTCTGTATCCATTGCTGGGGCTGTTGCTTTAGTGCTGTGTTTGTTACTAAAAAGCATCAGGGAAAAAAGTTCTTTACAGCCATTCAGAGATAGTTTTTTGGCACAGGGCTTTTGTTCACTTGCTGTGGAAGGGTGTGCAGCTGTGGAGGTGAACTAGGACTCACAGCAGCCTCAACTGACCTGTTCTCAACTGTTCTCGTTTTTCAGCTTGGGAGAAGCCCAAAAATTGCCTCTGCCTCTAATTCTACTGACTTGGTCTTCTCTGAGCTTTTAAGCAGCCAACTTGGTCTTATGCCCTAGGATGTCATCTTTTCTTTTCTTGATGGATAAATGATCTAATGAGATAAATGCTGTCCTGAAGTTGAAAACTCTTTCTCTGAGCTGGCTATCCAGTGTGATATTGTGAAGAGAGGGGGACTTGGAGAAAGCTCAGGAGTCCACAGTAGGAAGAAAAAGGGGTGTAGTGCCTTGTCTCATGTAACTGCACTGTTACAACTTCTTGGCAGAGCCTGAACTCACAATATTCTTCCAACTGTCTTGACTAGTTGTGTTGCAAACTATAACCCTTTTATGTTGTCCTGGCTGTTCCCAAAGCAGCAGAGGGACTTGTTCATAGGCTGTCTTCAGCTCAATGTGAGCACCTGGAAACTCCTGTTGGCATTTGCACACATTCATATAAAAGTTCCTAAAGTGTGGCTTTTAAATTTTTGAGGTCAGAAGAGCCAGCCCAAGAGATTGGGTATTGAATGGAGTTGGTGCGGTTATAGAACTAAGGCAGGTTGTTATCACTCTGGGTGCAGTTTTTTTTCAGGCTAGATTTATGCCCCCATTTGAAGCAGTCCAAACTCCAGTGACATTTCTGGAGTCATGTGGATGGTTATGTGCATGGCTACCTATCTATAAGCAGAATATTCTCTTTAGTATGTTTTATTTTGATTCCATCAATGGAGAGCAGTGTTTGGCATTTTTATACGCTTGACATTTCTCTATGGGGCTCTCTGGGTATTTATAACAGATCCAAAGAGTACTGAGAGGGTTAACCTTAATTTTATTGTGGTAAGGAGAAAGCAGCAGAGCCCTATACTGTTAGAGGTTGGATACTCATATTTCTCAACACCAGATTGGATCCTGCTAGAATGTAAATTATGCTAATAAAATGCAGAGTCTTGTACCAGTTCTAACTTGTATAATCCTCCTGGTTTTAGTGTCTGTATTTATTTTTACTGTGCTGTTTCTCCTGGAAGCATAGAAAAAGAAAAGTCTATATTTACTTTTTTGCTGCTGTAATAGGTGGGGTTTTTTCAGTAGATGTCTGCATTTTTTATGATTTAGAGACAGAGCTATATAATACCCACAAATGAAAGAACATAACTAAACTGCCATAATGTGGGGTTGGCTTTTGTGTCTGTTGTGTTTGGTGGGGGAGGGGGAAGGCTTAAGTTGTTGGGTTTTTGTTTTGTTTTGTTTTTCTTATTTTTAAATGCCAAACATAACATGCAACATAAGTAACGTAAGTCAGGAAAAGAATAAAAGCACTGAAGAATCACTGACTATGATATTTGATTATGGGAGCAGTTACTGCTATTGGCAACTTGAAGTTAAGATCAGAATTTTCAATAAAGATTAGGCCATTAACTCACTTGAGTCCCTGTGAAAATTACAGCCGAAATTCCATGCCTGCTTAGCTGTGTTGAAAATGGCCCACAGAATAGCCCCCAGAGGATTGAAAAATAATGGCTACTTCTGTTTTTCATGAAATGTGTGAAAATGTTCTTGTGTTCCATGCTGCTCCAATATAGCTTTTGCTGCTATCCTATAAAAATATATATTCTGTAGATTGATGCATTTCTTGCTTTGTTTCTGAAAAGAAATTGAAAATTGCTTTAATTTCTGATTGATATTTTGCCTCGTCCTATGCAAAGACAGCAGGTCAGAATTTAGTGGATATGATTTCAAATATAGCTCAGTCCTCACAACCTCTTACACATTTGGCTTTAGAAAATGGAAAAACAGAATCTCTTCCACTTGCTGCACTCATGTGCAGTTGCTCACAGAAAGGATCAGATCCTGCTGAGCTGCTCACTGGTGTGAGGGGGGCGGTTCACAAAAACCTGATGGAATTATTCATATATAAAGTTTAGTTCAGTTCTACTGCAGAAACTTGTTCTCACTGGGCTTCTGTCAAGAGAGCTTAAAAGTTTTCCATGTTTGCCTTTGACAGTGCAGCAGAAATGTCTCCTCAGGTAATGAGGTGCCTCATGTTCCCAGTCAGCACAGCCCACAGGGCTGTCCAAAATGCACACACAGGGCATGTTAACATTGCTGAAAGTGGGGAAACAGAGCCTAAAGTGAAGAGACAAGATCACCCAAACTGTGTGCACTTTAGAGATGGTCTTAACTGATTGGAAAACAACAAACTGTGGAAAATCCTGCAAAACTGGCGGAATGGTCACTGCACCACTTCAGTCAGATGGCCCTTTTCTAGCACTGTTTCTCCATCAGCATTTGACTTTGCCTACACCATCCCTTCTCGCTGCGGGAACTCTTGAGTAGTGGTAGAATTATTGGGTGTCTGTATCCTCCTTTGCCACAGTGGACAGGGCTGTTCTTGCTGCTGTGCA